TCCCAAAATTAGAACCATGCATGCACCCTGAATGAAGACTAATTTGCTTCTAAGTTAAATGCGAGTTTTAGTCTCCAAACTTTTTTATTTTAAATACCTTGATCTCTAAACTATTTTCAATATTTTTTTAGTCCATTAACTCTATAGATTGCATTCTTTTCATTTTTTCATTAGTTAACTCAATTCAAAATATCATTTTTTTTATAATATGACAATAACATGTCATTAAATTAGTTTACATGGACTCATATTACCCACCCAAAATTTGTTTTTGGTAGGAAAAAGTTTGAGGAGAAAGAAGAAGATTTTAAGCGTATTTTTGTAATTTTGTAAGTTTTAATATTTTAATTTATAAAAAGTTTAATTAGTGGATAGTTTAGTTTTTTAATTAATCATTTTATCAGTTTAAGCTAAAATTATCAATATTAATGCCATATATTTTATTTAACGTTAATGTTTGGGTTGAGGAAAATAGAGAAGAAGAGAATTTTATTCTTCCATTCATCTCCAATGCTCTTTAGTTATTTTTTCAAAACTGTAATTAAAATTTTTATTTAAACTTTAAGTTTAATATATAAATGTATAAAATTTTAATTAACTTTATAATTATTGAATTAAATAAAAATATATAATCTTCCCCTCCCTCGCCTCTTTTTTTCAATTTATCTAAATAAAGTTATATTAATATTTTACTCTCTTTCTCTTTCTCTTCCCCTCTCTTTACTTTCTATCCCATATCTTTCACTATCCTTTACTAACATTTATCTAAACAAATCTTTGTTGAAGATCACCCAATGGGGATGATAAGTGCAAGAATTTCAAAATTAACATTTTACCTTCTTAAGAATAGATATTAAAATGTGAGTGTAATAATTATTTGTTTAAAAAAAAAAAAAGAAGAGGGAATTTCACAATCCATAGCTATCTTTCGATTTTACTTCCTCCTCCTTTAGGGAAGGATTGGATCTCACCTTTTTCGTCTCTCCACAAACTAATAGTCTCACGTACATTCTACAATGGCATCTCATGTTATGGCCCTTATGGGCGTAAAAGCAACCTCGGTTAAAGCATGGTACTCACCAAACAATTTTTTGAGTTAAAGTTTATTAATTGTCAAATATTTATGCTTAAATTATTAATAATAATTAGTTTTTAAACTTTTACAGCATCTACAATTGCACTCTATTTTTATTTGAAATTGTGGCATTGCAGGACATGTGCAAGGTGATATGTTAGCCAACTAGATGCAATTAAAGACTTCGTTTCGAACCCATTCCATGTATTCCCCCTACCCTAATCAAAAAAATTATCGCAATTCAAAAATAAACTCTCTAAAATGATTTTAAGTTAGGTTCAATTTAAGATAAATCTTATATATTATTATTGTATAAAATTTTGATTGTTTACATCTCTACTAGGAATGATTGATATTTATTCATTTTTATCTTTTTTTTTAAAAAAAAAAGTTAATTATCTTTTTAGTTAAAAAAATCATAATAAATCTTCATATATTTCAAAATAAAAGTTATTTAACTTTTTT